TACGACGGCAAACTTCATGTGTGCAAAGTAAAGTTACGACCCGAATCAACAAAGTATACCAAGGAAGACATTTTACTATGCAAGGATTCAATAATCAATATAATATATGATGATAAATACAAAGTTTGGAATAACTTTTCAATACTCTATAAGAACAAGGAGTATGATTATACTGAGTATCGAGTTCTGAATGATACCATAAAGATTTGTAACTCCACTAATTACTACGTACGGGATAGTTGGGAAATCCGTAATTTCTGGATAAAGACGAAACAGTCGTTTAAAGAATGCAGTGAGTGTTCTTACGTCCAATATTATGTTGTGACCAAGCAGTTGCATGTTTATTGGGCACCCACTGGTCAATATTTCACAAGAAATGACTATGGAGTTATCAATGGTAAAACTTGTATATGCGAAAAAAAGTTACAACCAGAATCAAGAGAGTATACCAAGGAAGATCTACTAACATGCAATGATTCAATCGTCAATATAAAATACGATGATGAATACAAAGTTTGGAATAACTTTTCATTACTTTATAAAAACAAGGTGTATGATTATACTGAGTATAGAGTTCTGAATGATACCATAAAGAATTGTAACTCCACTGATGAGAACGTACAGAATATTTGGAAAATACGTAATAAGTGGGTGAAAAGCTTCATATATTTTGAAAGTTGTAATAGATCCACGATCACAAAGACGCACAAGCGAGGGGATTTTCCTCTTCTGAAAGAGGTTAAATTGCAAGAGACCACAATAAAGTCCACAATATTCGTTGACAATACAAGTTTGGTCGAAATTCATAAGAAATACACCTTGCACGAATACAAAATGCGTTCAAAGACGACTGATATTAGCATGCGGTCTTTAAAGAAAGCTGCAACAAAGTACAGTTACGGCGTGTTCGAAGGTAAATTTATTATATGTTCTGATAAACACGTGAAACTCGATATATCAGACATTGAACTGTCTTTCATAGCACCGTTTTGTGCCTTGGCTCTCTCAATTATTTGTTTATCATTGTTGTTGATAGTTTATGGTGTTCTTTCAGAGTTGCGAACTCTTCCTGGTTTGAATCTGATGAGTTTAAGCTTCTCATTTCTCTTGGCATTGATTAATTACGTAGTATATTTGTCACTGCATCTACGAGTAGGCCAGGAATTGGATTTCCCATGTGCCAGACTGGAAATAACTAATACGTTTATTACGTATAACATACTCATGAATGCTGTTGTTAATATTTATCACTTGAGAAAAACCTTTTGCCGTAATACTTTGGTGAGATCTGATGTAAACAAGTTGAAAACCTTCTTTAAGTACAGTCTCTTTGCCTGGGGTGTTCCTGTTGCTATAGCTATTGTCAACATCATTCTTGTGAAGACAGAAGTTTTGAGGTTTCATCAGAATATAACTCAGAGGTCGGTTTCTTGTGCTAGGGATAATAAAATTCCTAGTTGGATAGTTGTTGTTGAGAATTATGGTTTTCCAGGCGGTCTTTTGTTGTACATCATTGCAATGTTCGTGTTCACCGCCTATCGAATTCGCAAAAAACTCAGAGCAAGCAACAGCATTGTACAGAGATCAAACATTGTTAAGAATCGCAGAAGCTTTGTCTTATTATTTAAGCTGTCAACCACTACAGCCATCAGCTGGATTCCTCTTGTATTTGAAGATTTAGTACTTAATTCTGACCTCATGATAGTATTACTGACGATAGCGTGGCTTACTGGTGTTTACGTTGGAATTGCGTTCGTCTTCACTCGAAAAAATTACCAGCTGCTTAAGAAAAAATATTTTAGCGAGCAAGTTAGCGAATACAAGGCAGTAAAGCAGCAAGAAAGGGCCCAAGCGTGAGTGATACGAATGATATTAAAATATTTAATTGAATTGACCATTCTACAGATGTTTAAAGATTGCTCACTGTAAAATCTATATTAACTGATCTTTCTGATTATATATTTAAATCTAGACTAGATTAGCCAACCCTTACGGTATAGTATTGAAACGTTTATCCGTAATGTAGCTAAAATAGATATTTCGACCGCTATATATATTCTCAAAAAAAACTTGTGTATTTAGAAAAATGCATAAATACAACTATGCAAATTAAGAAGAGACATGAATATAAAACTATCAAACAAGGTTGTAGAGAGTTTGCATTCCATAATTTATATATATAGACTAAAAGATGTATTCAATTAACAAGTATGTAGAATAAAGTTTTATACTTTTTTCATCAACGTATTCCGTATGATTGTATTAATCAATTTAAGGAAGTATCAATTTAAGGAACGTGTTTTGGCGCGAAATATACTAGTATTTGAAACACATATGTGACCGTATTAATCTACGTCACAGTCTTGTCTCCCAAGAGTTGTGCCTTGTGGTGCACAGCTTTGGCTAATTTTCCGATGCGCGATTTGATTTCGCTCGCATGTTTCGGCAATTACTCATCCAAGAGGAACAAAAAAACAGTTCTTTTGATGCTGTTCGATTAAGTTTAGATTGAATTGGGGTAAGAATATATTTAATACATGTAGATTCTGGTCCTATTTTAATAATATCTCTGCTATTTCGCGTGGTCGTGTATGGGCGCGTATGGGATTGAAAATTTATTATAACTATATAAGAATTCCAAAGGCAAGGTGTAAGACAAAGTGAATGTATCATGCGGTTTATTTACATTTTAGAACAATTGAACTTCTATACTTTTTAAAGTACGATGTGCTTCTGAATTTGGCGTTCGAACAACATTTAAGTTAGCAAGGCATCTAAATGAGTATGATGGGTATTGTTTATGTTCAGAAGCTTTATATTGAAGACTGGCACGTGTGCGGCACGCCGGAGTTAACGCCAGAACAGGCGTCTGGTTATGTATAAAATCGTTGTGGTGAAGTATACAATAAATTAGACCTCAAATGTGCTGGATTTTGTGTCATTTTATTAAGCCCGTCAGAAGGATTGGTAATATTAGTAGAATATAACCTGGGAGAGAGAAATGCAGCCTTGGATATTTTTATTTGGTGTCTTACGAGGTGAGGGAGTTTTAGGAAGAGTTGTCCATACAGACTCATAGTCCTATAGCCCATAGTTATTTGATAAGCGAGAACGCCCCCTATGACCACAACGACTGCATGCTATAAATCATTGAAACAGAAGTCAACCTTCAACCACGCAATATGAAAGTCCATGAACTGAGCTGTTGCTCATAAAGCCTAGACGCAATCTCGAAAAGTAAATCGTTCAGTTGTTTAGCGACCTCGTCTAAGGTACAACATGCTTCGTAATCGTGGCTTTAGTCTTCGACTGTTGTATCGAGTCGTTTTCTTTTTCTCTTTTTATCGTTTGTCTGTTTTTATCGTGCATGGCGGCAGTGATCAAAAATTTAAATGCAAAAGTAATTACAAACCCTCAAACCGTAGAGTTTTAAACGATGATTGTTTCGGGCGAGTATCGATTTGCGCCGTTGCCTGCTTGGTGCGACTTAAAGTCATTTTGGACGATTTGAATGTTTACTCTAAAAACATCCAGATCTGTTGTCTTGATTATAAATGACCCTGTAATGCTACAAACACCCAATGCGCCAAGGCATTTTGTTCCTGATAAAATCCCCCTACAAAAGGCACACCGTGAAACGGCAATTTAAAAAACAAAACCATCTTGAGAGGCATTTAGTAAAATTGCTCTATTTCCTCCCGACCTTATCTTGCTAAAGATTCCTTATCTAAAGCTAAATTTCATATGTTGCTAAAGCTTCCTTATCTAAAGCTAAGACACAACGTCAAAGGAAAATTTGACAAAACCATCTTGGAAGGCACTTTAGTAAAATAGCTTTATTTCTACCCGACCTTATAATTATATGTTGCTAAAGATTTCTTATCTAAAGCTAAATTTGTTTTTTTCAAATATCTTATCGCGCATCTATTCATTTGTAAATTACGACAAGACGCTTGACTACAGCTGTTTTTAGCAAGTATAAAAATCCTAGGTGCATGTTCCTAAGGAAGTGTCAGTTGACGCGACGCTAACAGCTACAAAATGGTTCTTCGATCCTGCTCCGTTTTGCATGGAGTGATTATTACTTGTCTCTCTTTAATTTTAGCCTGTTTTTACCTCGATAACAGTTCATCACACAGCAGGCATGAGTATAGAACGAGGCCGAGCATGTTAAAAGATTTAAAAATGTGTTAAAAGATTTAAATGCACGTTTAAATTTAAAAAACAATTAGCCTGGCATTTCGACGTTATAAGACAACAACAATTCTGAACTCCGTCACCCTTCGAGGTGAGGATTCCGACGAAAAATAAGCACCACATCTTGTCTGATTAAGATAAAATGGAATAGAAATTTCAAAAGCAATATATCTGGGCTCAACTATTAACATATGATGTCATAAAGACTCGTAACTCTACTGATGAGTACGTACAGAATGTTTCGAAAAAGAGGTCAACGTCAAAGACGATGTGAAAATGGGGAATAAATAGCGTGGCATTCCCATAAATAGGCGCATCATGCCATTTAAGCCCGTTTACACTACACTCGATTTATCGGCACGACACAGCAAAAATGGGTACCCCTGGGTAGGCTGCATGGGTACCCATTTCATCCGTGCCATGCCTTTGTATTGTTTTAGGCCTGGACACTAACAAAATTGGGTACGCGTATACCCATTTTAGCCGTGACAATATCACCTGGGATCGTCTATTTAACAATTAGACAACGAGTCCGAGTTGTCTATGAGCGAAGGCGAAGCCTGAGTTGACTATTCGCTCATAGACAACGAAGGCGAGTTGTCTAATTGTTTTAGTATACACCCTGTACCTAGATATATTAATTTCGAGAAAATAATCAATACACCGCAATTACACCGAAAAATAATTCAATTTTATACGGTCGCGAAATTTTCGCTAGCGAAATTTTCCCAACCGTGCACCATCACGAATAGACAATGGTTGAGTAGCCAATCACAATGTAGGATTTGTAATAGACAATAGTCGGGTGTATACTAAATAACTATATACTTCTAGGAAGTCTGTGTCCTATGCACTTATCTCATTAAAGCGACTATTGTCAAATCTATATAGCTTATAGCTATTAACAATCACAAATTTTATACTATATAGCTATTAACGGAAATTTCAAGTCTTACTCTGATATTTAACTCACACCAGTTCACATATTTGTCTGCTTACATCTTATACGAGGGCTGACAACTTTGTGATTCTCCAAACATTAAAATGCATAATCATAATGCGTAGATTGTCAAATGAATGTTTGTATCTTGAAACGTTTCTTTAATTATTTTTCTTACTTCACCCCAGTCAAGTCTATCTAGTCCACATCCAATACGAGGCATGGCTAACGTTGTAACCTCGTGTTCTTTACAATGGACTTTCATGGCAATTAAGGAACTTCGTAATGTGTCGTAGGTCGGCTTGTGAAAATATCTTGGTTTGGTTACCTGTAGATTAGAATGAAAAAAACTTTTATACCATTTGCGAAACTCATAATTTGCGAGTTTATTTACAAGCACTGATACGAACGTGCGTGCCCATGCAGTATTTAAAGTTCACAAGAAAAATTAAAACACTTTTAGTTCCACAAACCGACGACTCGATTTATAAACCAATCAAGACTTCTTGACTGATCCCGAGTGAAACATCATGTTTTGTGGATCCGAGGGAAACATGGTGGTCCATGTCCACAAAACGTGGTATCTATTATATAGCAAGTTTCAAAGGAAACAACGGGTGAAAATACGCGAGAAAAACGCAGACAAAACTAACAGAGAAAGTTTTCATTAAAAAAAAATCGGTTGAGGTCCAAAGGTCATATGTCGCGTGTGTGGCGTAGCATCACGACCACCGGTTTTATTAACCCCCGCCGGTGAAAGCATTAACCCCCTATCAAACTGGTCCAAACCTATCAAACAAAATTTTGCGGTAAACATTCCCGCCTTTCACGTGACGTAGTTTTAACCTAGAGGGTTCGGGAACAGATGAACTTCGAAACTTGCTATATAATAATCAACATAAAATTATCGTACTATCCTTCTTAAGGTTAACCGTACGCATGACCACATCACTAAAATGTATATCGAGTATGTTCCGAGAGGGTGAAGCCATACATAGGTCGTTTAGGGGTTCATAATTAGCGCTAACCCAGGGTTTGGTTTAAGGGCGTGCTTCTAAACTGCTGTTCGTTTTAAAACCTTTAAAAATTATGGCTTTGGTCGGTCCAGAAAATATTTATGGGAAAATATTGAAGTAAAGATATACCGGCACCAGAGGGTAACAACACAACACTTGCTAGAAAGGTACGCATGCACACGTTGCAAGAAAAAATGTGTGACCCGATTTTAGTTTAGTTTTATATTTCATTTCATATTTAGCCCATCTGTGACATAGGATATAATTAAACATTAAGGCCTGGAAAAGGGGGTGGGATGGTGGTTTTAAGTTCATTTTGATGCACCTAAACGTTACCATGAAAATGACATGAGTGTCGTCAATGTTTCGACTAAGACTGGACTTACGAAGAGCGATTCATGAGATTCATGTACTATACAAGTGATGTAGAAAGGGTTGTCTACGTTATACTTTTAAAATAAGATATTGGCAATCAGAATCGCTTGTTTTTGAGTTTACCATCCGAGAGCCATATGGTCGCCTGGGATAACTAAGTATATACGTAAAATTATCTTGTATAGACCAGGAGTCAGGCGGTTTTAACGAAATATTTCACGAGGTGATGATGAAAGAAGAGTAAAACAGTTTTGGTAAACCAAAGTTTTTATTCTCTCTTCGGCAGTAGCTACTCAGCTCGAAGAAGTGAAATTACGTGCCATTCTCAAATAGTATACTGCAATCACTCTCTTTTACACAGTTGTCATTTTCAAGAAAGTTATCGTAAGCCAAAGAAAACATGCAATACCTTAATTCACACCTTCACACAAGTCAAATAAACTGAAAAGTATTGAAGTACATATTTACCAAATAATATATAAAACGTCCTTCACGTCGCAAGATAGACACTTCGCCAGGTTTTTTCCCTTTACCAAGATAGATTAATTAAAACATATAAAATATGAATTGATAACATGTTCTTTTTGGATCATTCATAAAACTACAATCAATATGTACCATAATACCAACTGGTCGTGATTGCCATACCAAAATAAATCAACACAACGATACAATCTTTTTACATATTAGTTTTTATCCCCCGATGATTGAAAAGGTCTTTTTAACCCGAGATATTTCTACAGATACTGCACGACGTACTGGTAACACATGGCAATGTTGAATTTGGCAATAACAGGATACATACAGTAAGCATACCCTGACTACGAAGTTCCTCAACTCCTCCAAACATCTTTTTAAATATGGTTGCTATTCCTTTTCCCATGTGGACATCAGCACTAATGCAGTGAGCTAAAGAAGCATCCTTGGAACAACTAAATAAATCTCCTTTGATCTCTTGATAATGAAAACCGCTTTCTTTTGCATGAGCCATTTTCTTACACTCACTGCAACAGAAATATATACATAAAAAAAACGATTTCAACAAAAGCGACTGTACGATACACTTATATGACCTAACCATCTAGTCTCTTTTAATTTACAACTTTCTTCGTATTAAGCAAAAAGCTGAATATGCAGTGGTTTTAAAAATACACACGAGGAGTCCTATTTCTTAAGTTCTAAGCACAAAATTAGATGTCGAGCAATGTTTGCAAGTTTCATGATGTCGAGTAAGTTTCATCAATGCCATCGATGTCAATCCATCATACTTTAACGATTCTAGGAATGCCTTCCTTCCTTTTGATCTGCCTGCCTGCCCTTCCAATATTATTTTATTATTATTTGACTATAATGATTACAGTGTTATAATTACATTGTGCTAATGATGGCTTGTTCTATATTTTCTCTTCCATAATGCTATTCAAAGATGAGATTCCACGAGCTTACGCCATATAATCTTAGCAATAACTTTGTGATGAAGACGTAAGACGATGAATAAACCATTAGTGAGACGCATGCAGGTTGTAACGTGCTAGTTATGTTGTGAGAACTAACAGGCCAATATTGGAACAAGGGAACTGCCCAGACTAGGGGGCTGCAGCTCCCCTTTCCCCAAAAATATTTTCATGTTGTGGACTTTTACACTGTGCTAGTTTGTCTCACTGAAGGTTATAAAAATATGAAATATAAAGGGGAATGTGCTGAAAGCTTATACCATGCCTTTTTTGGCAAATTATATGTAAATATTTGAGACTTGAGAGGGTGCATACAAGAAGAATTTTCCTGACCTGACAAGGATAAATCTTTCTCCCTTTTAATTCCACTCATGCAGTAATTAAAGCTTATGTCATTTAGGAATGGAAAATAAAAAATTGACCTGGCAGAACTATACAAGTATTCTATACAACTATATACTACACATACAATATGAATTTGCTGTTTATGCTATTGAGTTGTACACTATATTAACTTATATTTCGGCAATAAAAAATTATTCTTGCTTTCTTTATAACAATTTTTATCATAAATTTTAACACATAATAATAAATCTTAATAAAAGTTCACAACATTTAATGGCCGCCTATGGCTTTATATGATTGTTTTTGTGCCGAGTGATAGAAGAATAAGCTAAAATTAATATAGTCGATAAAGTATAATAAGACTTTTGAGTCATTTCATAATGTAAGTTTAGGTCAGGTTAGCAATATAGCGTTGGTTTGAAATATAGTGAGGGCCCTCTCCCTGCGTGCATGTATTTCTAGTACATAATATGAACAGCAGAAGGAATTAAGCCATTGAATTGGACTGAGGAATTAGTTCTGAATGTACCCTTGTTGTCCAAAATAAAAGAATCCATATAAGATGTATGTACATGTAAGATGTAATAACATATAATAATGCATGTGCATATTGTATCTATTTCTAGGCATCAAATTAATGTAATATAGTACATAGATTTAGCAACTGTGAATAAAAACAGGTTGTACACTTGTAAGCATTACTCCAACTAGTGTTGACAGTCTTGTTAACATGTATTCTTGCAATCAACCCAGTATGTAGCAGACTACTGGAAATGTTATATATTTGAATATACTAGGTAAATTATTAAGTACTTTTGAATTCCACTGGCAAATAATTTGATATATATCGAGATCTAATTGTAAACAATGTTAGGTATTGAGTTTAGGCAAATTGAGTTTGAATATATCTGAGTTTTAATATATCTGTGAATAATAATAATAATAAATTACAGATTCTCAGTGGAGTTTGAAATGGCAAGAAGTTAGGTCATTACTTCACTGTTACACTGGTATATCCAGTATTGAAAATTTTACATGCTTCACCTATTAGTCCAAGATTTTTAAGTACAAGATTTATAAAGTACAATTTAGTTCAAAACTTCCACATCCCCAAGAATTTCTAACTGGTTTCACACTGGTTTATAAAATGCAAAACATGGAGATTGCTTATGTTGTCCCAATAGGAATAAATTATGGGAAAAACGTTAGAAAGTATATAAAATTATTATTTTTCTCATCAAAAACTTTTAACAGTGTAGATTGGTCCTTCATCCAAAATTCTATCCCAGCTCTAGGTAGTTGATAGCTGAGTATATATACTGAAAAGCATATTAGCTGCCACATGGTTTACAACACAATTTACCATTGGGAAGAAATCTGTACACTAGGTGGCCTGCTAATTAATAACTAGTCGAATAAAGGACTTCTGCACTGTCAAAGATTGTAGAGGAAAAAAATGCCTGTTTCATGCATGTGGTTGACAATTAAATTGATCCATTATTCCAACTTCCTATTTGCTTTCAAATTTTTTATCCACTGGTCTTGTAATAGTTTTATAATATATAATAAGGACTTTATGCATCAAGTCAATAATCAACACTGCTACTGGGCTAATAGGCTTTGGCTCACTGCAGGCATATTGATTGCTCATTAAACTGTCCTAAACATATAAACATTACAGAACTGTAGTTTGTAGTTAAAATCCCCAGAGATTATGACGGCCAACAACGTGTACAGCTTTGCCAAGCTTTGCGTTATATATACAGCAGAGTCGCAGACTAGATGCAACTATATATTTAAAACATTTTATTACTGAAATAACAACATTTAATACAGTATATACCTGTTTGAGCTGTTTCAATCTCAAAGTCACTAAAATGTATCAACGTTTTCGACTTAATTCTAGCTTGATTCTTTAACACATAACATTCGATCACATTTATACACACAACCCATAGCAAGATATACCTACCATAGGATATGCGTACAAAAGGCACTAAAGACTAGGTTACCTGCAAGGTAGGGATTGCTGCGGGTATTAAAAACAAATTGAACCAAATATCATATAAGAACAGGATTGGCAAAACTGTACAATTGTTAAAAAAAATATTACAAAAGCGTTGAAATTTGTGAAATATGTGTCACACGATCACGTCGCAACTAATTTAACAAAGGACGTGTTAAGGTGAAATTTTTCTTGCAACTTGGAATTCTGCTTGTAACCAGTAAAGTCAATGAAGATATGCCATATGGATTGGAAAAATATCAACGCGAAACACGTACTTCGGCATTTTACATTTTTCTAGAGTAGAGTTGTATTGCAAGTTGCAAAAAAATTGCATCGTGTAACAGGGCCTGAACTAAACTCTAAAGTTAACAAAATAAGAATGTAAGTGACTCCTTCTGCAGGGCAATCCACCTTTGATGTATTCGGCGACCCTTCGGCATCGTCGTCTTGCCTTAAATAGTTCAAAGAATTGCTATACTCCTTTGCTGTATTTTCGTATATGGCAGATTGCCCAGACCCACTATGACGATGAAACACGAGGCTCAATGACAAAGATGTAAAAATAAACTTGGATTATCAAACTAAACTGTGGTCTAACAATAAGATAAAATAGGAAATACTATCAAGCGCAAAGGTGCAAATGAAATCGAAGATATAATCAGTTCCTTCAAAGAATTGCTACTCATTTACTATATTTACATGCGGCAAGCGACAACGAAACACGAGCCGCAATGACAAATATGTAAAACATAACACTTGGATTTAATTTTAAACACTAAATTGCAGCTTTTACAGAGCTTTTTACCCCTAGTAAACGTCACACTGAATTAAGCGCAGTACCGTAGTGCAAATGAAACCGAGAATAGCTACAAACAGTTTAATCAGTTCGAAAAAATGAAATTCGAATACGGCAGACTGCCCAGGCACACTATGACAATGAAACACGAGGCGCAATGACAAAGATGAGGAAATGATGAGGAGTCAAAATAAGTCCAAACAGGCAAAACAATCAACAATATACTTAAAATACGATTTGATAGTCAATACTGTATATCGCGCGTCGAACGATATGCTAAACGACAAATCTAGACATCAATGCGCGAATATTTATATTGTTAATCAAAACAAATTACAGTAGAAATCAGGCAAAACGACAAGAAACTGTCAACCTTATAATAAATGAAAACAAAGGCGAATGAAGAACAGAATGTATGTTAAATCTGGCGAGCCACCGTAACCACGCGAGTTTAAACGAGTGCAGACAACTGAGTCGCTCGGTTAATGAGGCTACTCGTTCGTTCTCGTTGAATTGTGCATGTTCACTAACGAAACGAAACGAAACGAAACGAAACGAAAAAACGAGAACAAACGCGAAACGAAACGAAACGAAACGAAACGAAACGAGACGAGACGAGACGAGACGAGACGAGACGAGACGAGACGAGACGAGACGAGACGAGACGAGACGAGACGAGACGAGACGAGACGAGACGAGACGAGACGAGAGGAGACGAGACGAGACGAGACGAGACGAGACGAGACGAGACGAGACGAGACGAGACGAGACGAGACGAGACGAGACGAGACGAGACGAGACGAGACGAGACGAGACGAGACGAGACGAGACGAGACGAGACGAAATGGATTGGAAAACATCACAGAACCACCTTAATTGAACACAATGGAAATACAAATGAAAATAGTCAAATTCTGCGAGGACCATCCACCCCAAATTTTTTAAAACCACCTTTATTTTGTAGTGTGATACATAAACTTCACGAATAAAACTACCTTGCAGTGTGCCAATCAATATTAAACATTATTTTTTCAATTAAGTGAAGCCTTTTATCATGTTTGTGCTCAGTCATGCAAAAAGCTGACATTTTCAAAATAAAAAAGTCTCATAATCCTTTTTTTAAGTTTCTTGCTAGAATATGGCTTCCATTATGATGATATTTGATCTTAGAGCTACATAATTATCAAACATTTTATTGTTTAACCAATAGCTAGAGTATTCTAAAACCAACAAAATAAAACCTTCAGTTTTTGCTCAATGTAGGGAAAATGGAGTGACTAAACTCTTTAGTTATTAAAATTTCGCGAGGACCATTCGCCTAGAATTCCTTGAAACAGGCACTGTTTTTTGCCATATACATTGTAGTATAATGTAGTATAGGCCCCACAGTGTGCCAATTGGTTTAAACTTAGAAATATCTACAATGATGATAAAATTATCGACACCCTAGACCGTCCGAAAAAATGGTATACAATAAAAGTATTTGCCGATCAAAAATGAATTTTTATTCTATCAGTATTCTTTAAAACAAAAATAACTTGACGTTTATTTGCGCATACGATAACGCTTTTACATATGGAATACAGTTTTTTTGTGATCGGCATCAATTTCAAGGTGTATTTGCAGTATAATTTTTAAGGCCGTCGTTAATGAGGCTTTTAGACCTGGAAAAAAGGTCGCTCATTTAAAAGGGAAAAAACTTAATAACCTGGGGTCAAGATCAAACCGATCTTGGCAAGACACAACATTTGGGTACATATGTTGCCATCCATGGAAATATTTTCGAGATCTAACTACATAAGAATAGAAACAAAAGAGTTAAGATAACCATACCTTTGTGTGTTCGACATTCGAAGAATACGGCCCCAGTGTTTGAGGCGCATTATTCTCATTTGAAACGTCGTGGACCAAGCTAATGTATATCTATTACAGTCAAATATGTTGAATTTACTATTTCGTCTTTTAGATGAACCATCGAGTATGTTTTCATATCAAAAACAGAACAAAATTTAATAAATTCACTCCTTTGTCGCCATGTTCCAAAAAACAACAAAATTTACATATTTTTCGCAAAGCATGACGGTATTTTTGAGCCCAAATTTCTCAATTTTTAAAAAAATCTCCTCTTAATCCATTCCTAAAGTTTCTCTCTTTCGTCAATCGATCCCTGGCAATACAACAAAGAGTGATGTATTGAATGATCATCAGGGTTTCCAACTCGTGTTCCTTGTATTTTGAATGATCCACATAAGATTCTGACAACATCTGTTATTTTGGGTAGGTACTCAGGATTTTGTTTTGCCAAGATCCACCAATGAGATTGTTTATTGTATGAATGAACTCTCGTATAGATACCTAGTTGTCTCTTCCTTCTAATTTTGTCCCTCCATGTGACCTGATATTAATCCCAGATACTTGAATTAACAATTCTTTTCCAATCCTGTTTTGTGGGAAACTCGTGTGTACTAATATATTTCAACAAGTATTCCATCAGACCATACTTTTGAAGAACCTTGATCAAGTTTGGGATAAATCCTGTAGGTTTTTTGTTGGTGTTCCATTTCCACCGCACAAGTCGTGGTAAAAACATTTGCTTGCAAGGCACTCCAGGGCTCATATTTATAACACAGCCCAGAAAGTAGAGCCTTCGTTTATCTACTTCACTTTCGACGTTTAGCATGCCCAACAACCCACACGCGGCAGAACCATATGTTCCTGGAAGAAGTCCAGAAGAAGAAGAATTTTTTTCCGCATAAAAATTTTTTTGCCTTAAAAATATACTATTACAGCATATGTCGTTGTAAGGGTTTTAGCGATGTAATCAGGATAACTAAGGAAGCAAAAATACTTATGTCTCCACGAGAAGATTTAAAAGCCATCTTAAATTACCATTATGGCAAGAAATTTTAATCTCTTTGATCACAAGCGGTTTAGAGAACGGTTTCAACAATTTGTTTGGTGGGAGTTGATGTTGTTATTAGGTGTGGTCTTGCCTCAGAACATGGATCTTTCCAGAGTAATTTTTCGGATTTCGGCAACACCGTTTCGAAAAACCACTGACCGTAACCACTGAATTGTAGCGCGGAAAAAAATTTTTTCCGCAGCAGGCGGAATAGTATGAACAGATCTGAGACCTAATGCATCAACTATTATTGACATACTTGTAACAAATGTGCCTACAAGATCGCATAATTTCTTCCAAATCTCTCTCTGCTCCTGTCTTTCTGCACTGCAATTGAACAAATTTAGGGGCTTGTTTGATCTTCGTATATATCTTGGTTGGAAAATGTATTCGAGCAATAACAGCTCTAGTCTGCAAAACTGCAGAAATTGTTTCCTGCACTGATTTCATGTAACTAGCTAGCTGGAATTTGTTTGCCCAATATCGCAATCTTAATCATCTTAATGTATGGAAAGATGCGACGAATACCTTTATTGTTGCCAATGAAATCACGGAGATGACGTCGGTCATAGTTTCAGGAACATGCACACCCAAAGTATTGACAGCAAATGCTCTTAATATTCGAAATTTATCCATATTGATAGACTTATATATATTTTCCTGTGTAATGAGGGAAAAATATGTATAAAACCGTGATAACGATAGCTACCTTTAGGTGCTACGGTAGGAATCTGTTGAACACTGTTTGTAAATGCATCAGTTGCATAGACACGTCAGTTAAATTTGCGATAAAGTTAATTGTCTCACCTATCGCGATAATTTCCTTGTCTGTAAAGCTTTCATGTATCGAACATATCCCAGAACATAATACCCAGAATATCCCAGAACATAATACCGAAAAGGGAATGAATCTCATGCAGAAGACGTATTGCATATAATATTATTTAGATTTTCATCAGAACGGAGACTTGTTTTTCACGTTTACACGTAGCCTGCAAGGCAGGCGGTCTTTAAAATCGGGGAGTGCTACGATGTGAAAAGAAAGAATTCCTAACAGGTTTTGCCGGCCTAGACACTAGGCTTTTCCACGGCAAGGCGCAAAATTCTTTTGGCGAAATCGTATGAAATTAATTTGATCTATACTACTTTAATCTACTAGGCCTTCTATTTCTCGTTTCTCCATCTCGTAAATGTAGAAAATATTATAGCCATTCGTATTTAGCAATTTTGTATGCTTTTTATATTCTACATACGTT